AAATGCAAGGATTATTATTATATTATTGAGTCTCCCAATCTCCTAATCTCAAAAGGAATTGTCACTTCTTCATTGCTAAATTGCCTCCCAAGAATCTCAATTTTCTTTTTGTGCCAAACTTCCCCCTCGACAAGCATTAATATTGCTCTCAATTCTGGGCAAGTTCTTCTCGCACTTCTGAACACAGAGGAGGCTTGCTGTCTGATAGGGGATCTCCATTGTCTTCTCTCTATTGTGTTACATGCCTATTTTAGCAATACACCTGTGATCATTGCTCCTCTCTTGCAGCTTCTCTCATTTCTTCCAGGGACAAAGTATATTCACCTATTACGCTTTTCTGTATCTTTATGTTGGTGTCATCAAAACGTATTGCACTGTCTCCTATTCCTAACTTATTCTTTCCCCTAGACCTCAAGATTAGAATTCCTTACCCCCTTCAATCTTTTACACTTCCTTTTACTCTATACAAGCCTATATGGCAAGCTATGCGGTTTAAGCTGGTTAGACTCCAGCAGTTACCCCAGCAGTTAACCTGCGTCTAATACTCTCTGGAATTAGGTAAACAGGATGTGTCCCTCCAGGGAGAGAGTGCGCATTCCATTCCAACAATCTGTCTCTGGGATTTCCAAGTGTAGGTGGGATGCATGGAAACCTCAGCTTGGTTTGGAGACTCTTAAGCACGGTGATGGGTTTCCGCATGTGTTAGACACCCGGCTGAGCAAACAAAGCCTATTTCAAGTTTTTAAAACCCAGACTTGGTGTCACTTCAGTACTTATTGTCTTGGTTTGTTTCCTCTGCTGCGTTTTGCAGCCTTGGTGTACTATCCACGTGCTTCTCAATTGTTTAGATATGTTATCTAGATTGTGGCTGTAGGTTGGGACACCAATAATCTGTTCTTCAGAAATTGAAAATTTACAGAGTAAATGAGTGAATCCGAGATGAAAAACACACTAAAGTATTGCAACTGAAAAGCAAATTCTCAATTGTCACACTCCAGATAGCAGGAAGCAGCTGCTAATTGAACTGTTGCAAATAAGGGTGTGCGTTTTGTGTTTAAGGTCATGGCAGTTAACACATTTGTTCTCAGGCCATCAGTCCAAACTTTGCAACATCTATAATATATATTATATATATATTAGTTAGTAGTCTCAACAGGGGGAAAAAAAGCTCTCTCTGCATTTCGAGTCGCTGATTGTAAACGAGCTTCTGTTTGTTCGTTGCTAGATTTGACAGTTGCTTTTGCACCTATTATACAGAAATGTGACAGATTTGTGTGCGCTGGTCTGCGTTCAGAGGAATAGAACATTACAAGATCTTACCCTCCTGTACTGTAATTGGAGTTTCATGTAGTTGTCTACCTAAATCATAGCATTCTTAGACATATCACTAACATTGACTGATGTTCCCTTTTGTTTTCTGTCATTTCTTTTTAAATGAATGTTTTTGGCAGACGCTTGAATATAGAAAGTCGCCGGTAGTCTTGCTGAATTAAATATAGTAAATTCTCATGTGAATGCTTGATAGGTTATGTTTCTGGTGGAACTTTAATATGAAAGATGAAGTGACATGCTTTCAGGTCAAACACTACCATTAACCTTGTTGTTCTTTTTACCTGTTATATTGCATGTCACACAGCAATGGCTATGCAGGATATATAATAATAATCCTTGCTTTTGATATAGGGCTTTATCACATTTTCGAGATGTCTAAAAGCGCTTCACAGAATATAATAATAATAATCCTTACATTTGAAATAGCATCTTAGCACATTTTCGAGATGTGTCAAAGCTCTTCACAGAATATACTGTAAACTGAATTGACTGTACTTTTTGTGGGCAAACTGTGGCAGCCAATTGTGGTCAGCAGTGTCCCACAAACAGTCGTGGATTGAGTGACCAAATTATTATTATCATTAAGAGTCGGAAACGTAAATATAAAGCAATGTTTTTACACATTGCAGCTAGTATTTTGCACCTAATATAAGATTGGCATCAGCCTGGGTGTTTGTAATGTTCTTGTGTGTAACCCAGAGATCCAGCAAAATAAGTATTAACCAGAATTTCCAGTGGATCTTTAATTACTATGGCTGTTGTGTACCTTATATCTACTTCACATTTTGGCAAAGAAAGACTTGTTTCAACCATTTGGTTTGAAAATCTTCACAGAGTGGTTTGGAAGTAATATTGTTTTGCCCCCTCCCCCCCAAAGTAACTGGCAGCAATGGAATGTTCTGCAGTGGAAGGAAAAATGATTTCAATATCTTCAGGACTAGAGGGGATAAAATTAGGGAGATTTTTTGGGGGGCGATCTGATACATGCGGAAACCCATCACCACGCTTAAAGAGTATCCAAACCAAGCCGAGATTTCCATGCATCCCTACATGTAAAAACCCCATAGATAGATTGTTGGAATAGAATGCATAAACACATTCATATATATTTGAATATTCCAGGCCGGGTGAAATCTTGGGCAAGTTTCCTTACTCCACACGCCTAATAATAATCCCTCCAAAAAAACAAAACAATAATAAATTGGTCATTTTCAATCCATGACTGTTTGTGGGACATTGCTGTGCGCAATTGGCTGCCGCGTTCGCCCACAAATATACAGTCAATTCACTTTACAGTATGTTCTGTGAAGCGCTTTGGGACATCCTCCCGACGTGAAAAGCGCTATATCAAATGCAAGGATTATTATTATATTTTAAAAAATTATAAGAAGCTCTCTGGTAAATCAGTAGATTAATGAAAGCAATCCCTGGGGATGTGTATTGAGCAAGTGATCCAGCATTGTCTGATTGGTGGAACTGTACAGTAATTCAAAATCAAGTAAAGGTGTTTTCTGTTCTTGGAGCATCATTCAGCTGTTGAAGTCTCTGATGTATTATCCCATGCACATGAGAAATTTTTCAGAACGAAGCCAGAAGTTCACTCCCAAGAATTTTTATGTAGACCATAATAATAATAATAATAATAATCCTTGCATTTGATATAGCGCTTTTCACGTCGGGAGGACGTCCCAAAGCGCTTCACAGAATATACTGTAAAGTGAGTTGACTGTATATTTGTGGGCGAACGCGGCAGCCAATTGCGCACAGCAATGTCCCACAAACAGTCATAGATTGAAAATGACCAATTTAATTATTGTTTTTGGTTTTGGAGGGATTATTATTAGGCTCTGTGTGGAGTAAGGAAACTTGCCCAAGGTTTCGCCCTCTGCCTGGAATTGAACTCAGGTCTCTCGTTTGCAAAGCGAGTGCTCTAACCACTGAGCTACAGGACTCCACTCCATGATAAGCTATCTCATCTTGTACTGAACAGTGGAACCACAGAACAGCCTACGATTGAAGGGAGTACATTCAGAACAATTCTATGGAAAGAAACACTACTTTAGTGAGCTAACAGTAAACCTATGGAACAGACTCCCTAGGGAGATGGTGGAAGCAGAAAGTGTTGTTTGTTTCAAGAACAAGTTAGGTAGATTTCTGCTATAAAGTAATATCTTGTATATACAGTATATAGTTTGGGGGCACGACATGTCAAGCGACTGCCAATTTTGTGGAAGGCGAATTAGATGGACCTTTGTTTTCTTTCGCCAAGCAAAATCTTCTGTTCAAATAAAGTAACTCTTATTGGCATCCTTTCTATAATAAGACATGTTTTTTTTTCGCGAAGTCTGAGTGAATTTGGGAAGTACTTTATACCCAAGCTCCCACTGCCATGAGTCCTGAGAGAATGTATTTCATAGTTGTTACTCCTGCAAGACTTGGGTTGTTGACTGCTTGAAATGATCTCCATCAAGCACTACATCTAATAAGCCTAATAATAATCCCTCCAAAAAACAAAAACAATAATAAATTGGTCATTTTCAATCTACGACTGTTTGTGGGACATTGCTGTGCGCAATTGGCTGCCGCGTTCGCCCACAAATATACAGTCAATTCACTTTACAGTGTGTTCTGTGAAGCGCTTTGGGACGTCCTCCCGACGTGAAAAGCGCTATATCAAATGCAAGGATTATTATTATTATTATTACATCGAACAAACTCTTGAAAGTAACACATGTGCAAAGCTAGTTCCACAGCCACCACAACATACTTCAAGAAGTGTTGCGAAATTTGTCAGGATAAGAGATGGAAATGTATGTTCTCATTTCTATTGAAAAGGCATCATGGGGCTATGGTTCCCTGCTCTGTTCAATCCTAGCAGAGATTGCAGGTTTACGTGATGTAATCCAACAACTGAGCCACATTCCAACATAATAATAGTAATAATACTCCTTGCTTTTGATATAGCGCCTTATCAGAATGCTTCACAGAATATACTGTAAGGTGAATTGACTGTGCATTTTGTGGGCGAAACATAGAAGAATACTGAGCGGAGGAAGGTTGTACTACGATATTGAGTTGTGTGCTTTCTGGTGTACGTTAAATATTAAAAAGTTAAATAAATGCTGGTGATTCTCATGACACCTGGTGGCCTGATGTTGTGTGACTCCAGACAAGACTAGTCAGCACACCTCAACGCTCTTACTAACTTAGCAGTAAGTAGGAACCCGACTGTCAGGCAATTGGCAGATTGCTTTTCCGGTGGGGTAATTATCCGTTAAAAAAACATTTGGTCACTCAATCCATAACTTTTTGTGGGACACTGCTGCACCCAATTGGCTGCCACGTTTCGCCCAGAAAATACACAGTACTTCCACTTTGTAGTATATTCTGTGAAGTGCTTTGAGACTTCTTGAAGATTTGATAAGGCGCTGTATCAAATGCAAGAATTATTATTATATTCACGCTCACACTTATTTGACCGTTTGTCTTGAGAAAGTGAGAATTTTATGGAATATACTAAGCCACCACTGAAAGATTTTTTAAAAAAACTTGAATGGAAAAGTAACTGAAGGTTAAGACGATGAGTTTAAAAATAAACATGTATCAGAGTCCGTGCACTGGCCTTTCATATTTTTTTCTTAATCAAATTCTGTTTTGACTCTCTTTAGCAGATGCCCCCACAGTACACTCAGCAAGGTATGAGTGGCTACTGCCAACAGGGACAGCAGCCTTATTACAACCAGCAACAGCAGCAGCAGCCGCCTCCCTATATACAACAGAGATACCAATCCCAACAGGTAAGCAACTCACCTGAACTTCTTGGAAACAGTCGTACTTATGCAGGTATAAGAAACTAGTGAACTGGCAGATTTGGGGAATAGTTTGTGGAGTCCTGTAACTCAGTGGTTAGAGCACTCGCTTCGCAAGCGAGAGGACCTGGGTTCAATTCCCGGGCAGGGCAAAATGTTGGGCAAGTTTCCTTACTCCACATACCTCTGTTTACCTAGCAGTAAGTAGGAACCTGGTTGTTAGTTGATTAGCTTTTCCGGGGATAATAATTTGGTCATTCAATCCTCGACTGTATGTGGGACACTGCTGTGTGCGATTGTTTGCTATGTTTTGCCCACAAAATATGCAGTAAATTCACTTTGCATTATATCCTGTAAAGCGCTTAGGGACATCTCGAAGACATAATAAGGCGCTATTTATCAAATGCAAAGATTATTATTATAATAATAGAGGGGTATAAATGAGGGGAATAGAAGAAGTGGGAGCATAAATGCTAGCCTTAGAGAATCCGGTCTTGTTTATACAGCTCGGGAATCTGGGAGTGATGTGGTGCCTTTAATGTTACTAATAATTTAGTAACATTAAATTAATCTTCAGAGAAGACTATATGTTTTCATGAACTAGTAATGTCTTGGTATCCGTGGCTACCTGAAACCTGTGGTAGGTGCCTTTAACTTGGACAATGAAAAAGAACACAATGTTTGTAATCTTGTTGTTCATTAGGATAGAAGTTGTTAGGTATAAAGTTGTTTCAAGATCCTGACGCTCCCTCCCTACCTCACCGTCCTGCTTACTCACCAACCCACTACGCACTGCCTCCGCTCGACTGGCTCCGGCCTCCTGCATGTCCCTCATGCCCTCCGTTCCACTATCGGCGTCTGCGCTTTCAGCCACTAAAACTCTGGAACACTCTTCCCTTAGCCCTCCATCGTGCCCCTTCCTTCCCCATCTTCAGGTCACGCTTGAAGACCTTCCTATTGGACTGTTCCTGCGGTCACCTCTCCCTTCCCCCTGGCTTGGCGTTGTGCTTCGCACTGTCAAGCTCTCTGGGATGCTGCCCTGAGTGAGGGGCGCTGTGTAAATACAAGTTGTTATAAAATCTGGTCTTCTAGGACTGGATATGACTTTGGCATCAGAATTAGACAGTTTTTTTTTGCTAATTTACTTGAATGTATTTGGATTTATGAACCTTTCCAAGGAAAAAAAACTTTACTAACAATTACAGAGCAGAGTCACTAACGCTGGAAGCACTGTTCCAAAACACCTAATTTGTCTCGTGGTGGGAGTTCCCCCTGACATCTTAGATCAAAGGTCTTTATCAACAGACCCGTGATTTTTACGTTGGTATCTATTTTGGGTACAAACTCAAGTTTTCCTAGATATACACCACTTCCTGGTCCAGATTTGAGAGATTGCCAGCTGTTAATAAAATGGACACATAACTCAACAAGAATTAATGCTAAGTCACCTGAGGTGTACTGTATCTTAGTGGTTATGGAGTCCTGTACCTCAGTGGTGAGAGCACTCGCCTTGCAAGCAAGAGGACCTGGGTTCCATTCCTGGGGGTCAGGGTGAACCGTTGGGCAAGTTTCCTTTCTCCACATGTCTCTGTTGACCTGTCAGTAAGTATCAACCCGTTTTTTAGTCGATTGGCAGATCGCTTTTCTGAGGGTAATACCATATGTAAATTTTTTTAAAAAAAATCAGTCATTCAATCCGCAACTGTTTGTGGGACACTGTTGTGCACAATTGGCTGCTATGTTTCGCCTACAAAATATACAGTCAATTCACTTTGCAGTATATTCTGCGAAACTCTTTGAGACGTCGCAAAGATGTGTTAAGGCGCTATGTTGAATGCAAGGATTATTATCAGTTTGATTATAATACCACAAATATAAAATCAGTACAACTTCATAATGAAAATGAATTTCTTAACATATTCACTGGAGCAACATTTGAAGATTGTGTTAAACTGCAAAATTACACTTTTATTAAACTTCAATAAATAATAATCTGCGATTCTCCGCATCCCTTCATGATCCTCAATGATCCTCAAGTAAGCCACCAGTCACCAAGGGCGACATTGTTCCATTCGTGTTCTCTGGTCTGTAAATAGAGTATCTGACCTTGTGAAATAGTGAAGTCATACTGAATCAACTCCTCATCTTCAATGCACCTTATCTTACCGATGAGTGACGGACGCACTGTGAGCCACAGTTAAAATCACAGCATGGAGAGTTGCTCCACAACAAATTGTCTTCATGCTGGAAGGTGTAATCCACCAGTCAAGCAAAACACCAACACATACCGTACCTTCTACTCCATTCAGAAGCAATGAATTGGAATCGAGTGAAATTTGTTGGGATAATACTGTGTGATTACATCTCCAGACTGGTGCAAGTTTGCATATCTACAACCATTTTCTGCATGATTTTTTTGGGTGGGTGTATGTTATTGAACTGTAATACACATGCAGTTTACTCATTGGTGATGAGAATGTCTGCCCTAATGCCTTTTGCGGTGGTAGTCCAAAATGATGATAAGCTTTGATAAGAGTCAGCTTTTGTGATAACACACAGACAGCAATGAAATTCAAGATATTTAAAGCATTTTTTCTTGTTCAGTGTCAAAATGTATTAACTGCAAAATCAAGCCAGTAACCGTAGACTGGTTGAATTAAATTGTACCACACTCTTTATAAGATATCTGGCAATACCTACGCAATTGGAAGCCTGACCTATATTGAATTCCATGTCACTGATGTGCTTTATACCTCTACTTTGAATCTATCCATTATAGAAAATGAGTTTTGACTTATCCAACACCATAGTTAAATTTATGTTGTTCACATCCATCAAGCTGTGAGTGGAGTACGAGAAAATGAAAGCTTTCTCCACTTTCGATCAAGATCAGGTATAGCACAGGGCACATTTAGAGTAAAACTGCATTTGCTTTGCCAAAATGGTCTGTTTTCACAACTTCAGAAGTTTTTAATTTGCAAACTTGTTATTTTTGGGGCCTTTCTGAATGAGAACAGAAGTTTTGTTACAAACTTCCAGGAGAGATGGAGAAAATTGAAGGAGAAACAAAAATAAATCAAAACTGGAGAAGTGGAGCAATTTCTTTTAAATGCGCCCATCTCGTTCAGTGTAGGAATGCAACTTCATAATTGGTCTACAATTTCTGATGACATTAAGTAACTTTGTTTAGCTGAATGGGGCTAAAGCACTGAAGGGGTGGAGAAAGGCTGTAAGATTGATGGTGAACTGATAGATGAAGCAATGCAGAGTGAATACAATACAATATTATACTTGTTTAGCATCTTTCATGTCGTGGGGACGTCCCAAGGCCCTGGATGCATGGTGAGAGGAGGGAAATCGTGTACTTGAGGGAGTGTGGTGCTTGATGGAGTGGAGGACAGATGTATGGGGAGAATGTTAATTCTACCTCTGAATAGGTAATAAAGGAGATTGTAGTAAACAGCTGTAAACAGCAACAACAACAAAATTAAATTTATAGATCGCCTTTCACATCGGGAGGATGTCCCAAGGCACTGGACAGTCAGGGGTCGGGACCCGAGCATGAGGGAGGGGTGGGGTAGCGGTGCGGGAAGGCAGAGAGGTGGGAGGGCGACCGAAGGCACGATCGAAGAAGAGGGTCTTGAGATCGGCCTTGAAGGATGCAAGGGAGGAAGCGAGGCAGAGGCACTGTGGGATGGAATTCCAGAGTGTGGGGGCAGAGAGGCTGAAAACCCGGCCACCGATGCTAGGGCAGGTTGGGTAGGAGACATGGAGCAGGCCAGAGCCCGCTGAGCGGAGGGAGCGGGCTGTTTGCTAGGGAGTCAGCAGGTCAGAGAGGTAGGAGGGGGCAAGTCCATGGATGACCTTGAAAGTGAAGACGAGGATCTTGAATTTGATCCTCAGGGGGATGGGGAGCCAGTAGAGTCGGGCGAGGGTGGGAGTGATGGGGTCGCGGAGCCTGGTGCGCGAGAGTACACGAGCTGCAGAGTTTTGGATGATCTGCAGCTTGTGAAGGGAAGAGTTGGGAAGGCCAATGAGGAGGGAGTTTCCATAATTGAGCCTTGATGTGACGAATTCGTGGGTGAGGGTTTCGGTAGCCTGAGGGGTGAGGCAGTGGCGGAGTCTGGCAGAGGTGTTGGTAGGCAGTGCTGGTCATGGCGCAGATGTGGGGGGGAAAGGACAGTTCAGGGTCAAACAAGACACCCAGATTCCTGACTGGCTTAGTGAAATTGAGTGTGCAGCCGTGGATGCTGATACTGCCAACGCCCGAGGTGTGGAGGCTCTAGCGCGAGCCAATCAGGAGGGCCTCGGTCTTGCTGATTTTGAGTTGGAGAAAGTTGTCACTCGTCCAGGACTTGATGTTGGACAGGCAGTCGGTCAGGACTCTAGTAGTCCTGGAGTTGAGGGTGGAGGCAGACAAATAGAGTTGGGTGTCATCCGCAAACTTGTGGAAATTTCCCCCATGTATGCGGATGATGTCACCAAGGGGGAGCGTGTAGAGGGTGAAGAGGAGGGGACTGAAGACAGAGCCCTGAGGAACACCACACGAGACAGTGCGGGGGCTGGAGGAGAAGCCGTTAGCTGAGACAAAGTGGAGACGGTGTGAAAGGTAGGACCTGAACTAATCAAGGACTGAACCTTGGAGGTTGAGGTGGGAGGAGAGGCGGTGGAGGAGGATTGAATGATCCACAGTGTCAAAAGTGGCGGAGGGATTGAGGAGGACAAGGAGGCAGAGGGAGCCCTGGTCACACATGGTCAGGATGTCATTTGTGACCTTGACCAGAGCAGTTTCTGTGCTGTGGGCAACACGGAAACCCGATTGGAGGGGCTCATGGAGGGAGTGGGAGGAAAGGAAAGAGTGAAGCTGGGATGCAACGGCTCTCAAGGACCTTGGACAGAAAAGGGTTATTGGAGATGGGCCGGTAGCTGGATAGCTGTGTTGGGTCAACAACAACAAGATTACAAGATTATAGCGCCTTTCACATTGG